AGTAGCAAGTGTGACAAAGTTGTGATCTGTCACATACGTGGTCTGAAGTCCTCGTGAGCTGGTGTGCACTTGGGTCCCTTGGGGGTGGCAAAGATCAAAACAAGCAGAGGTGCTGCTTCTGGGGTGGACAGGCACCACGAAGATTCCCTGCACTTTGGCCACCCACTGCTGGCCACCTACTGCTGGCCCATCACCCCGGGCCTCCGAACCACCTCGCAAATCTGTGATTGTTTTGAATGCTTGATAGTAAGTGAGGGTATTTGTTCTTCTCTTCTCTTTTTAAAAAATGGATCAGTGCGTCAAAGGCTAATATATGAATTCCTGCTAAAATCAGATGGCTAGTTGGATATTCTTTCTCATTCTTGGTGGTCTTATTAGCTGACTAAGATAATGTTTGAAAATCAATATCCAGTATGTTGTTCTTAGGCCACTGTGGCTCAGGCTGCTGTTGGAAGGTACCAGTAGCAGCCGTTCATCCTGAGCTGAAATTTTCTTAATTTTATCTTATTGTGGATTGCCTTTGTGATGCAGCTAAATAATGTGTATCCTTGGGGCAGACTTTTAAATAGCCTCCGTGGAGGTCTTCTTTTGTCCTGCTGTTTCTCTGTATCTTGTCTTGCTCATAGTATTGATTGCTCTGGTTTTGGTTTGTTGGTTTTGATTTTCCTGTCTTGATATGGGCTTAAAATGTCAACATTATGTTCATTTTTAAACTGTTAAAACTAGGTTGGTGAGGGGATAGTCAGGAAAACTAGTCTTAAAGTGTTAAAGGCCTGATAGTAAGTCTTATGGAGTAGATCCTCTTATCTCAAGATTTTTAAAAATCAACTCAGGAGATTAATTTTTATGTTTTATGTTGAGAGAGAGCTACATAACAGGTGTTAAGTAAACTTTATCTTACTGAACTATATATATAAAGTTTAAATTGGATTTTTAACAATGTAGCATCTAGGAGAGTTGGTAATTTGTTCTCAGGCAAATGGGAATATATATTTTTTATTGCCAGTTTTCATCTGTGCTTGAATTTTTAAAAATCAAGTTAAAAGCAAAGTTTACAAATGGGACTTTTCTTTCATGATTTGGACAGTTTTTTAACCATTTTACCATTTCCAATGACATCCGGGAGGATTTTCTTCACCTTGTTCTCTTTTTACACTTCCTAGTTAATATTTCTCAGCAGCCATTTAAGGATGTCCCTCAGAGGTTGAACAGCTTCTATGGAATAATCAGGGAAGTGTTCATTTGATTTTACTATTGAGGTGGTTATTTATTGATCAGTTGTTGACACTTAGAAGTACCAACAGTAGTTTTCATTAACATTTCATCATATTCGGGATTCTAAGGTGATAAGAATGTTACTTAATGAACAGGGGTGCTTGGAAAAGGGTTTGTTGCTCACTGTTAATCATTTAGTGATTAATCAGTATATGCGACTGGAAGATGTAGTACCCTAGGATTTCTTTTCCTCTACTTATCACACTTTTTGGACTATAAATCATTGTTTAACACCTTGACACCTTGGAGAATGGTTAATTAGCAGCTTAGAAAATGTGTAGAACTCCAATAATTTTGCCTTTTTTTCCCCTTTGGGGAAGTACGAGGAGGTGTGGGGTGGGGATTTGAGATTTGGATTATTGTTTCAATGAAGAGTAAGTGGGAGTTGGAGTTGGTTTTAACTTAAAGGAGGGAAATTCTTAGTGCATGTGTGCTTGTCATGCATCATCTGGCATCTGTCAGTATTTCTGTTCTTGTAAGAACTGGTCTAAGTTGATGCTAAAAGAAATCTTTTTGTGTCTAATCTTTTCAGCAGGGGGAGCAATCTCCGAGCTGTTGTGAAGACCCTGGAAGTGCTTCTTCGTTCTTCCCCATTTTTCCATCATGTGGCCTCTGGACACTGTGGTCAGTCATTTGAGATTGACTTTAATTTAAAACAAAGGCCTCTGCTTCTCACCCAGGAGGTGGAAGGAGTGAATTTTATGTTCGAATGAAGAAGTGAATTATGAAAGAAGAGTATACGTCCCTTCCCTTTCAAGTATAAGTCCAAATAGGCTCTCAGGAATGAGGATTTGTGAAGACATCAAATGGGAATTTGACTCATTTAAACTTTAATACTGAGTTATGTTGCTGGAGAAGAGATACTTGTTTTACTCATCTAATTTTATTGTACCCAGCATCATTTTGACCTGTCATTTGCTATCTCCTTCTATCTGCCTTCCAGCCTCAGTGCATGTCCTTGACTGACTTCTTCTTATCTGAAATTCTGCTGCAAGCTTCCTAGGAGACCTTCTGTCGCATATTCTTGCTTCCATTTCGAAACTTACCCTTTCACCAGATACCTCCTATATTTCTATATTGTGTACAAAGGATGGGCAGAAAAGAAAGTGCTTGAAAGATTTGAAATTTTCAGAAATGGAAGAAAGATAAGAAGGGCCCCTTCTTCCTAACATACCTTTTGCCCAAGAAACTGGGCTATAAGAGGGTCAGGGTTTTTCTTTGTTTTCCTTTCACTGCATGAGTTTCCCTCCAGTACTGGTTCCTTCTTCACTAATCATGGTTTTTGAGGATAGTTTCAAAAACTATTCTTTGTCTCCAGCAAAGAATCATCAGTAGTTTATATTGTTTTACCTGTGCTAGCTTCCAGAGATGGAAATGAGCCAGGTGTTTCTCAAAAAGCTTCTTTTTGATTGGGGTGGGGGAATCTATGCAAGGACTAAAGTAGAACCGTCCAAAATCAAAGCAGCAACAACACAGTTCAAATCACAGATCAAGGAACAAATTTTTTTTTTTATCATTGCTTGTGGAGATCTGTCCTTCCATCAGTCATCACATTTTTCCCTTCTTGCATCCATGCTTCTTTTCCTTAAGACGTTTCAGTCTCTTCCTTTCTGTGAAAGGTTGCTTAGCTTTTTAAAAATTTTTTTACTTTTTGCTTTTGCTGTTCTTTTATGTAAAAAGTAGCAGATGGGATGGATGTGTACGTTAGGCATTTGAAATTCTCTGAAAAGCCAGAGTAAAATAAGTGTGGGGAGGGCTCACTGGCCTCTCTGAGTAGAGCTTTTAGCTGACCAGAAGTGCTTAACCTGGATCGTCATTTTCACAGTATTTTCAGAGTTTAAACACTGTGCTTATTGTGAAATCTCTATCAGCCGGTGGGTGCTCCTATAGGTAGCCAAACAAGTTGATTACCTTTTGAATTTTAGGATAGAAATCAAATTAGAACACATCAGTAAGAGCTGCTTTCTCCTGTTCCATCTTTTTAGAACCAAAATTCAGTAGTTGAAGTAAGAGCTCTCCCTGAGTCAATTGCAACATTTCTGTATTTTTAGATGCCACTACTTTTTTCTCAAATGCTCATTTTGTGAATTTCATTTCATATTTCATCTCAGACCAGTGGCTGAGGTTAGTAGGTGGCTCACTAACATATTTTTGTTTTGCGGACATTACTTCCATTCCCTGCAATAGTGTACAAACTGTATGATGCAAAGGTTTCTGCCTTATTTCCATGTGCAAAGTAGCTTGGTGTCTCTTACCTGTGCATTTGGATATTTATGCTATGTCCACCTCCTAAATTGGCTACTGAGAAAATCAACTTCAGCCCTGTCAGATTGTCCCTGGCAGCAGCTGCTAATAATTATTTATGCTTTTGAAGTTTTTATCAGCTTTTAAAACCTATGCCATTTTGGTTTGATTTTCTAAATTTGTACAACATATGCATATTCTCTTCTTCCTTTTGTCATCTCCCCTGTTTTGTTTTTTAATGTTCTGTAGTTTTGTACAAGCCTTGGGTACTTCTTGCTGAAGCTTTACTGCTTTGTAAATAAAATTGGATGTTTATTAAAGAACAGGTATAGATGTTTTTTGTAGACACTAACCACTTCTGAAACTCACCTGCCATTTTGCTTTGTGTGACAGAAAATGCAGCTTCCTGTGCTGATGTTAGATCTTTGTGTGGAAATATAGAGCTGGGAGGGGTAGGGTGTGTCAGGTGGTCCAGATTTCTGCTTCATTATAAATGAACAATTCAAGCAAAAAGGTGTTAAAAAGATCATCTAGGAATGATCTCTCTTTCAATCCTTCAACTCAGTTTAAGTGTGTGTAACTACTCAGTAGAGGCAACAGTGCTAGGAGGTCTTCTGGAGGTTACAAAAACACGTGAGGAGCTTTCTGCCTTCCAAGGAGCTTTCTTAACACATAAATACAGTTAAATTCCTCTTTATTAGACTTTTCTCCCCTAGGTTAAATAGTTTGAAAACCCTCTGAGTACTCATTGTCTCTAAAAAATAAGATGTTTCATAAAGTCTATTTAAGTCATTGATTTTAAACAACTCCGTCTACTTATTAATCTTTTCTGTTATGTGACAGAATTTGTTGTTGACATCATAGCTGTCTCATAGCAACCTTGGCCCAAGTGAGAGATGAGGTCCTCTGTTCTCTAGGGTGAACAGAGGGGCAGGGAAATATGCCTCCACTCCCCCAGAAAACACCTTCCGTGCCCTCAGGAAGGACGGGTGCCTAGAATGGGAGAGGAGCTGCATTTAATTTTGCCTGTCTTGCTGATAAACATTTGGATTCTACAAGGGCCCTTGTCTTCATGACTTTTCTATTTAAAATTCCTTACACATGAGCTGTACAAGTGTTTTCCTGTACATTGGATCATTTGATGCTCAAAGTGACCTTCCCGAAATAGGCAAGGAGGTCTTAATTTACAAAGGAGGAAGTACAAATAGAAATGCTGGAAGGATAAGTCACTTGCTTCTCAGTCCAGAGTTCTTAATCCTTTTTATAGACGGTTTAGGAGCATTTAGAGTCAATAATAACTTAATTCAAGTTAATCCTCTCCTTTTTTTAAGACTTGGTATTTTATTTCTTACTTGGTCAGATTTAACTGGCTTTTTGAAACCCTTTAAATTAGATTCCACAAT